GAAACCTCCTCCACCCAGCAGTGGTGAACACTGCAGCCTCCACCCTGGAGGGATGCCTAACAGCAGACATGGAGAGTTGAATTTAGCAACCCAGAAAAGAGGAGTTTGACTTCAATCTCCTGGGTGGGGTTTCATGATGCCAGCAATCCCATGGGTCCCGTGTTTAGCAAATACTTTCTGGCACACGAAAGCACTTAAACAAAACTGTCTCATTCTCAGGTGACCCTGTGAGGTGGCAAGTGTTAGTGTATCTTCATCTTAAAGACAAGACACAGAGTCAGGAAGACATTTGACACCAGCAGTGACAAACTTCTGTATGTCCAGAGATCATCTTGTATTCTTTTAACACTTTGTTTTTGTGTGTTGCTTTGTTTTTCAAGATAAGATTTATCAGTGTAGCTTTGGAGCATGTCCTGGAACTCCCTCTGTAGACCAGGCTGGCCTCGGATCTGCCCACCTCTGCCTCTTGAGCGCTGGGATCAAAGGCATATGCTACCACCTCCCGGATCATCTTGTATTCTTAACCTGTCTAGGAGGCTAATGTTTGTGGAGAACTTGACTTGTAGTTTTTGGTCCATAGTTAGACTGACCCTCAAGCTGAAAGTTTCAAAGGGGGCAAGAAGGGGATCCAGACACCTACATATGTGTCATCCCAATACTCAGTAGACTATCACAGGAGGATCACAAGTTTGAGACCAGCCTGAGCTCTATAGTGAGTGCTTGTTTCTAAAAGATAAAAACAAAAACTAAGCAAGTATTTGAGTCAGCAAGAGGGCTCAGCAAGTAAAGCCACCTGTCACCAAGCCAGACAGCCTGAGTTTGATCCCCAGAACCCATATAGTGGCAGGAGAAAACCCTCTAAGTCCCCCTCTAAATAAAGTAATTAAAATTTAAAAAGAAAGTATTTGGAAACATCTTAAGGCCAAGAAATTGAGAAGAGGCTAGATGGCACACAGTAGGGAAGCGAACTTCTAACACTGTGGTACCTATTAGCTTTGGGCATGATTGTTTGTTTGTTTGTTTAGAAACTATTAATTTATATAATCAAGCCCACATAGATAAGACTTTACATACTGTGTTACCCCTGTACAAATGGGGAAAAATAAGTTTAGTGTTTCTTTTTGTTTATTTATTTATTTTTTTTTTGAGACAGGGTTTCTCTGTATTGTTTTGGAGGCTGTCCTCAAACTCACTCTGTAGACCAGGCTGGCCTCGAACTCACAGAGATCCTCCTGCCTCTGCCTCCCAAGTGCTGGGATCAAAGGCGTGTACCATCAACGCCCAGCAGCAGGGATAAATTGGGATTTTTTTCCCCAAAGTTGATAGCTAAAAGCTTCCAAGGATTTGGGGCTGAAGAGCTGGCTCAGTGGTTAAGAACACTATCAGGGGGCAGGCATTGGTGGTAAAAGCCTTTAATCCCAACACTCTGGAGGCAAAGGCAGGCAGATCTCAGTGAGTTTGAGGCCTGCCTGGTCTACAAGAGCTAGTTCCAGGATAGGCTGCAAAACAATACAGAGAAACCCTGTCTGGGGAAAAAAAAAACACTCTCAGGTTTTCCGGAGGACCTGGGTTCAATTCCCAGCAATCACATGGTGGCTCACAACCATCTGGAATGAGATCTGGTGCTCTCTTCTGGCATGCAGGGATACATGCAGACAGAACACTGTATATATAATAAATAAATCCTTTAAAATTTTTCCAAGAATTCAATATATATATTTGTGTGTATAAGCATATAATTTTTATTTGTATAAAATGATCAATAATAAGCCGGGTGTTGGTGGTGCACACCTTTAATCCCAGCACTCAGGAGGCAGAGGCAGGTGGATCTCTGTGAGTTTGAGACCAGCCTGGTCTACAGAGTGAGTTCCAGGACAGCCTCCAAAGCCACAGAGAAACCCTGTATCAAAAAACCAAACCAAACTAAACCAAAACAAAACAAAACAAAAAAAAGATCAATAATAGCAGTATGTTAGGCAACAATAGCAGCAACAGCCTTTCTGGGATGATATGAACAAAACTGAAGAGATACCTAGCCCATTCCATAAAAAAAAAAAAAAAAAAAAAGCAAATTCCCAGGAAACAGCACAGCTTTGTCACTGTTGTGGTTGCTTTGGCACATTTGAACTTGACTTTGAATGATTCTGTGGGGCCCAGAAAATTAAAATCTAAGCCCCACCGGGTATGGTGACTCATGCTTCAACTCCAGTGCTTGGGAGGTGAAGTCACAAGCCTCAGGAATTCAAGGCCATCCTCAGCTACTTAGTAAGTTCAAGGCTAGCCTGGGTTATATGAGACCCTGTAGGAGGAAGGAGGATTAAGAGGGGGAAAAGAAGGAAGGAGAAGAAATAAAACAGAGTCTGAGCTAGTCAGAGAGAGCTAGGCATGTAATAAGGAAATGCATCACCACGAGCAATACATAGCAGAAACATTAGAGTCGTCAGACACATACTATAAAACAACCGAGTTTTGTTGAAAGAATGAAGCTTAAAAATATCTGCAGGGACAGGAAACTATAAAAAATGACATAGTAGATTTAAAGAGAACATTTGTAGAAAGCTTTATGGTTTAATCAGGGATCAAAACCACAAATACCTGCAGGGGCTAGACAGCAAACAGAAATGAGTCAGGTGGCTGGGTGAACAAACTGGTCACCTGAGCAGTCTGGAGGGCAAGGGCTGGCTGCTCAGCTCTAGCTGCTGCTGTGTGAACTGGGGGCCCATTTTGCAGAACTTTGGCTGGATCTAATGAATTTAGATTTCTTTTTATGATAGTCAAATTGATGTAGCATTGACACTGACCATTATAACCACTTTTCTCCTTTTTCCATTTTCATTAATGTGTGTGGAGGGGGTCAGCATGTATGCTGTGTATACATGTTTACAGGCATGGTATTGGTGCACATGCACATACATGATTGTGCATACATGTGGAGGCCAAAAGTTGACGTGGAATCATCCTCTATCTACCTTGTTTATTGAAGCAGGCTCTCTCATTCAAACCCAGAACGTGCCAGTATGGCTAGTCTCACTAGCTAACTTTTTCTGTGGCTCTCCTATTTCTGCCTTTCAAGGCTGGAATTACAGGCCAGTTGTCATGTCTACCAGCATTTATCTATGAGTTCTGGGGATATGAACTCTAGTAGTTGTGCTTTCGTTGCCAGCATTTAACCACTGAGCCATCTGCCCAGCGCATTGTAACCATTTAAAAGTACAATTCGGGGCTGGAGGGATGGCTCAGCGGTTAAGAGCACTGGTTGCACTTCCAGAGGTCCTGAGTTCAATTCCCAGCAACCCCATGGTGGCTCACAACTATCTGCAATGAGATCTGGTGCCCTTTTCTGATGTGCAGATATACATGCAGACAGAACACTGTATGCATAATAATAAAATAAATCTTTTTAAAAAAAGTACAATTCAGTGACATGGGACATTCACTTCTATGTAGTTCTAGAAATCTTTCATTAGGAGGGAAAACCCACACCCATTAGCCATCATTCTCTTCTCCCCTCAGCCCCTGCCTAGTCTAGATAGCTCATGTAAGTGGGGTCATACAATCGTCTACCTTGTATACCCATACCTTCCCATTAGCATACTTTCAAGCATGTTTAGCAGTGTGGGTATTCCTTTTATTATTCATGGCTACATAATCCCACTGTGTATAAAGACATCCATTCATCAATTGGTATTTGTATTTAATTTTTTTTTTACATTTCAGTTTTTGGTTTTTTTTTGTTTGTTTGGTTTTTTTTTGTGTGTGTGTGTGTAAACATGTGGCAATCAGAACAACTTTCAGGAGTCAGTTCTCTCTTTCCACAATGTGGGTTCTGGGAATTGAACTCTTGTCTTCAGGCTTGACTGCAAATGTATGTATGTATATATGTATATAGTTTGTTTGAGACAGGATTTCTCTGTGTAACATGCTTTGGAGCATGTCCTGGAACTCCTTCTGTAGACTAGGCTGGCCTCAAACTCACAGAGATCTGCCTTCATCTGCCTCCCAAATGCTGGGGTTAAAAGTGTGTGCCACCATCACCTGGCTACAAGTGCATTTACTAAGCTGTCTTGCTGACCTGATGTGTGGATTTGTTTATGTCTTATTTTTAAAGTATATACATACATACATACATGTACATACACATGTACACACACACATTCTATGTGGGAACTATGGAACAGCACTTGTCTAGCACTAAACAAAAACTAATTCCCTCAGGCCCAAGCAGGGAATTGAACTGAGGGTCAAAATTATGAGACTTCTGATTTATGGCATATTTTCCAATCCAGCACTCAGAATGGTTCTCTAACATAATTGTTTTAGTTTTTTGTTTATTTTGCTTTTCAAGACAGGGTTTCTCTATTCTAGATCTCACTCTATAGGCCCAGATGGCCTCAAACTCACAGAGGCCCACCTGCCTGTGCCTTGAGTGCTGGGATTAAAGGGGTGCACCACCACAACCTGGGTGTTTGATTTTATTTATTTATTTATTTATTTATTTATTTATTTATTTAGAGACAGGGTTATTTATTTATTTAGAGACAGGGTCTCACTATTTAGTCCTGGCTAGCCTGGAATTCCTTACATAAGCCAGGCTGGCCTTGAACTCACGGAGATCTGCCAGCTTCTGCCTCCCAAGTGCTGGGATTAAAGGAGTAGGCCACCATGCCGGACTACTGTTCTTATTTTTATTTTTCACATTAGGGCCATGTGATTGAAATGGTAAAATGATGTGCTTGGGGGGAAAGCCCATACATTTTGTTCTCATTCTCCGCTAGCTCTCTCTACCAGACCCCAGCACCGTCCCCAAACTTTAGGGGGTAACACAATCAATGCCGTCACAGAAGAAGTTCATGGCTGCAACCTGGAATAACTCCTTTCCTCAGTTTCCCCACCTGTGAAATGACTTGAGTTGGGCTAGTTCTTCTCCAGGCACTGGTTTGCTCACATTAGGTCATCTCTTTTCCCAGCATCCACCTGGGCAAGCATTTGCTCTGGTCCAGTCGGTTTAGCCTCAGCTGCCTACCTATCTGTCCCTATCCTAATTGACCGCAGTAGATTCTGCCACCTAGTTCTGTCCTGGGATCGGGAACAGCCCCTCAAAAGTCTTTCTGAGTTGGACCAGTCCAGTTTACCAGCTGCTCCCGGTCAGTAAACTGCGCTTCCACCAGGAGCCGTTTAAGATTAATTTGTGGTCCTGTGACCTACGCCAGCGAGCTTTATCCCCGACTGGGACAATTTATCTCCAAGGAAAAGGAAGCCTTGCGACAATGCCTACAGCCACCGGCCTCTGGCACCTTAAACTGCGACCCTAGTTTGATCATGGTGAGGCAGACGTCCTAGCTCGCACATTTCAACAAGGCAGCTAGCTGGCCAGAAACCGGCACCTCAACTCTTTCCAAGATCACGAGTCCGGAACCACCGCCTCCAACTCTGAGAAGTCAAGCGCCCGACAAGTAACTTGCACGATCGCACCCGAGGCCACCAACCCAAGGCCAGGGCACCCACGGCCTCCTGTCTGCCATCCCCAGGGTGTGTGTCTTGGGGGGAGGGGTTCCCACCACATCCCCTGCCTCCGGGGGAGTCGGCGCGCGGGC